CGTGTTAGCCAGGATGGTCTCGATCTCCTGACCTTGTGATTCGCCCGTCTCGGCCTCCCAAAGTGCTGGGATTACAGGCTTGAGCCACCGCGCCCGGCCCTTTTTCTTGTATTTTTTAGGACAGATGAGGTTTTTCCATGTTGATCAGGCCAGTCTCGAACCTCCGACCCCAGGTGACCTGCCTGCCTTGGCCTCCCAAGGTGCTGGGATTACAGGCGAGACACCGCAGCCAGCCTTGGTAGCTGAATTTAATGCTCAGAGACAGCCCCCCTTCTTTTCTGCTCCTTAAACTCTGGCATTGTTCACTAGCTTCTGAAATCATCTGCAGTTCTTAGCTCTCTTGTGGGCACTTCACTAGTTTCTGAAATCCTCTGCGGGTCTTGTGAGCACTTCCAAGTTGGCTTAAAGTGTTACCCCAGGCCAGCAGCCAGCAGTCAGTTCAGTCAGGGTGGCCAAGGACCCTGAACAAGGCGTTTGGTTCCCTGGGCTGACGTTGGGATTGGACTCCAGCCGCCCTGCAGATTCCACAGGTGCCTCCCTCACCCTTGTCCACATTTATCCTTCAGCATCCTGCCTGCAAGTCCTCTGCTATGCCACCCCGATAGGATTCTCCTGGGCCTTCCCTCCCCCAGGCGAGTGTGCAGCCTGAGCCAGCGCCGCGCCCACGCACACTGACTGCAGCTTCTGATTCTTTCTTTTCCCAGTGCCAGGTGGAGCTCAACAGGAAAGTCCTAGCGGATCTGGCCATCTACGAACCAAAGACTTTTAAATCTTTGGCTGCCTTGGCCAATAGGAGGCGACACGAAGGATTTGCTGCTGCCTTGGGGGATGGGAAGGAACCTGAAGGCATTTTTTCCAGAGTGGTGCAGTACCACTGAGGACTGTTGCTGTATTGATTAGGAAAAGACACAGAGTCATTTGCAGTTTGTTTGATTTGTTCTTTTGTCTATCTACATCCCAGTAACAGGCATGAGGGAAGGCCCTGTCTCTGGGACAGAGTGTCACAGATGACGTCCGTGTTTTGTGTGAATGAAACTCAAACACTTCAGTTTTTGGAGTCATTTTCTGACAGCGAGCGAGCGCGTGGAGGAGCACGTCCTGCTTCCAACCGAGGCTGCGGCGACACCTGGCTGTGGGATGCAGCTGAGCAGGCAGCTGCCTTCTGCACATGGTGGGGGGTCCCTACCTGGGCTCCCCTCAAGGCCTGCGTGCACAGTGCCCACTTTCCAGTTCCCTGACCCACCCTGAGTCCCTACTCCATTCCGCTCAGGGCTGACCTCAGCCCTGTCTTCCCCTGGCCTCCAGTGTTCTTGCGTCCAGCAGGGCCCTGTGGCTCAGTTCAGCCGCCACTCAGAACAGCACCCTCAGCTTCCCTGTCCGCCAGATTCAGCACCCAGCAGGGACTGGAGGAAACGCTCACATCAGGTGGGTGGTGGCCTGGTCCCCGAAGGCTGAACTGGCTTTTCAGGCATCTCCAGGAAGCAACATCCAAGAGACAACTATCCCTTAACCCCAAGGATGATGCACACTTCTCCCCTGGTCTTTCTGCCCCAGGAAGGCTCTGTCTACCTGCTGATGCCCCCCACATTTACACAGCAGTGCACAGACCCCTGCTGCAACCTGCTTGTTTTGCTGACCCTGCCATAGGAGCGCCTGAGCTGAGTGCCCATCTTCCCCCCTGCAAAGGCAGGTGGCTTGCATCCTGTGGCAATGTGCCCTTCACCCTTTGCCAGCAGTTGCTGGGGAGTCTTTCTGGCCCCTTTCTCAGACTCACCACCTACCTCCAACCTGCACAGAACAATCAGAGTCCTGGCCACTTGCTAGAGATGGCTTCAGGCCGACCACTCCGTCCTCACTGCAGGCCGCCTTTCTTTTTGGCTTCCATAACTGCATGGCCCCTTAAGAGGTCCCCCTCCTGGCCCTCGTCACTGCCTGATGACAGCCGCTACGCCCTATGACTTTGGAGGCCAGGGACCAAGTCTCGTTCACTGTCCTTTCCGCTGCATGAGTGCAGTGTCTGGCTATGTGCACGGGGCACTCAGTGCCTGTGAGCCCTTGGTAAATGGCTTCTGGACAACGGGGTTAAGGACAGAGCCTTGTGCGGCCACGTTCTGTGCATTCTGCTGTGCTGTGGCAAAGCTGCCTTTTCTGCATTTCATGTCAGTGAAGGAAGACATGCATGCGCAGAGCCCTGTGGGTTGCTCCCAGCACTCATTCGGTTTGTGCCATAGTCCTGTTCCCAGGCAGCCCCGGGGTCTGCCCCTGATTGGCTGGAGGCACCACCAACCTCCCACTCCTCGGGCAGTCACAGCTCAGGGAATGGGCAAGCAGCACCAATGAAAAACCAGCTGTGTAGAAGAGGAAATTCCTTCTTTACTGGAGAGCTTGCAGTTGTAACAGACAAGACATCCCTCCCTGAGCTGCCAGCCTGGGGGAGGACAGGAGTAAAGCTGTAACCACACCGTGTTGCCCATAGCAGGCGGTGAGGAGAGTGGGTCTTAGTTGGCACTGTTTGAGCTGCAGTATCAATCATGGCAGAGCTAGTGGACAGCTGGACCTGGGGGTAGCGGTGAGGAGCAATGGTGGCCTCTGGATTTGAGCCCGTTTGAGCTAGGCAGTCACTGGCAGCTCAGTGTGTGAACCTGCAACCACTCAGGCCTCTGCTGCCCTTCCCTCTTCTCACTGCTTCACCCTTCCCCTTCACCCTTCCCCTGCCCCACGCAGGCTTCCCCACTATCCTCACCCGTGGTTCTGCACTAGTCCTGGCAAAGGTTCCGGTAACTGTAGCAACAGATACCTACTGCCCCTCCTGCACAGCTGTGGTCGATCAGCGATGTTAAGACCTTACAAACGCAAGAACCCCCTCACTGTCTCCCTGGCGTTTGTGGGGTAGCTCCTTCACACGTACAGCACCGGACCTCCCTCCCCCGACTCCTTCCGGGGGCCTGAACCTTGAGGCACTTAGGCCTCCCAATGCTGGAGGGGGTCTGTAGAGGCGTCGAGGCCACGTTTCCAGTCCCCCCTCCACCCGTGTCTCCCCAGGGGCTGAGTTTTTAAGGCAAGACTTTGCGGGAGGCCGGGCGCGGTGGCTCAAGCCTGTAATCCCAGCACTTTGGGAGGCCGAGACAGGCGGATCACGAGGTCAGGAGATCGAGACCATCCTGGCGAACACGGTGAAACCCCGTCTCTACTAAAAATACAAAAACTTAGCCGGGCGAGGTGGCGGGCGCCTGTAGTCCCAGCTACTCGGGAGGC